AGCAACTGCAGGATGATGTTCTTGGGAGGCTGCGGGAGAGAAGGGAGTGGCTCCAGCAGTTCTTGGCTGAGGAGGAGATCCTGGCTGAAGAGTTCAACACTGTTGGGGAGTCCATCCGGGACGAGATCAAGGAGATCAATGAAGTGGTCCGAGAGCTGATCAAGGACGTGGAGGACCAGGTTCTTTCGGTGGAGGAGAAATGCAAGGACCTGTATCTCAAGGTTGCGAACGTCACGGATGACAAGGAGATTGGGGATATCGAGGATTACCTGATCAACCTCAAGAAGGACCTGGACGTCACGCTGGATGTTCCGTTAGACCAGGTGAAGGCGAATCTCGATGAGTGGATCGAACCAATGAACAAGGAGCTCGCGAACCTGGAGGCGAAGACGAACGCGATCGAACCCAGGCCAATGACTGAGGCGAAGAAGCTTGTGAACGATGGGTCCCTCATTGATTCTCATCCCTGGCAAAGTCGTGTTTACGGTTAAGCCTCCAGCGCCGGAGACGAAGGCTGAGAAGAAGTCGAAGGGAGCACGCTGGAAGCGTAAAGCCAGGATTGTGATCTGTGGCAACCTTGCCAACCAGTCCTTGAACGGACAAGATTTGTATGCGGCTGGTGCCTCGGTTGAGGCACTCCGCTTAGCACTGGCCTTGGCGTCAGCGCTTGGTTGGATCGCTGCCTCCACCGATGTTTCAGCAGCGTTCCTCCAGGCGGAGTGGCCATCTGACAGGCCAACGTATGGAGTGATCCCGCCCGGATACTGGTGCAGGCCAAGCTCGTTCCGGACAACGTCGTGTTTGTGGTCAAGCGGGCACTCTATGGGTTGCGTGAAAGCCCAGCTCTTTGGGCAAGCCATCGTACCAAGACGTTGAAGGAGGTGAGCGTCGAGACCCCAGGTGGAAGGGTTTGGTTGAAGCCTTTGGTCACTGATGGGGAGCTATGGATGATCCTACAATTACCGCCGGGAGCTGAACGACCCCAACTTCGAGGTCTGTTGGTAACCTACGTCGACGATTTACTGTACCTGGCGGCCCGGGCAATGATCATTCTTCTCCACACCAAGATCGCGGAGATCTGGCCCTGTTCGGCTCTGGAGTTTTCCGACAAGGGCCTACGATACCTTGGAATGGAGCTGCTACAAAAGGAGAACACCTTCACCCTTGGACAAGAGGCCTATGTGGCAAACTTGGTTCGTCTTCATGGGCTAGACCCTGAGGACAAAGCAGCTTTACCATGCCCGAAGGAGTGGATCCAGGACACGGACATGGACGGCGAAGCGGAGAACTTCAGCCCGGAAGAGCTCACTCGAGCCCAGAAGATCACAGGCGAATGCCTGTGGCTTGCCTACCGCACCAGGCCGGACATTCTCTATGTCACGAACTACATGGCCGGGATGACAGCGAAGAAGCCGGTGAAGGTCTACAATGTGGGCTTGAAGGTCGTGGCCTACTTGAACGCAACGGCGGGCTTGAAGCTGAAGGTGGAGACCGCAGCGACAGAGCCGAAGCAGATCACAGAGTCCACAGCAGAGCCGAAGCAGATCACAGAGTCCACAGCAGAGCCAAAGCAGATCACAGAGTCCGCAGCAGAGCCGAAGCAGATCACAGCAGTCCACAGTCTTCAACATGAGGTAGGTTTCAGGGTCGATCTATCGGGTTACTGCGATGCGTCCTTTGCACCGTTCGGTGGGAAGAGCTTTGGCTGTAGCATGGTTATGGTCGGCCGCACACCCATTTCCTGGAAAGCGGGTAAGCAACCTATGGTGGCCATGTCAGTTTGCGAAGCAGAGCTGATGGAAGGATCTACATGTGCCCTTTTGCTGGAGTCGACTCAGGCGATGCTTGAAGAGATTATCCCTGAGGTTGGGACGCCTACCTTGTTCATCGATAACATGGCTGCGCACAACATCCTCAATGGCTCAGCAGGCAGCTGGAGAACGAGGCACTTGAGGATTCGGCACTCCTACGTGTTGGACCAGGTGATCACTGGAGCCCTAAGGGTTCGACACTTGGCTGGAGAGGACCAACCGGCAGACTTGCCGACGAAGCTCCACAGCAGGGCGAGACTTCTGCACTTGTTGGAGGTATGGAACATGGTTGGTTTGCCGGCCCTGGACAGCGAGAAGGTGATGAAGGGCTTGAAGTTGGGTTGTATCTTCCTGTTGATGTTGGCGGTGCAATCCCTGGCAGTAGCTGCAGAGAAGGAACCTCTACAGGTCACGGGGACGAGCGAACTCCTACTGTTACTTGTCATGACCTGCATTGCTGCAGTTGCCTTATGGGAGGCCGGGAGAGCTGTCTACAAGTGGGCAGTTCCGACTATCTTCGGGAACAAGAGGTCCCGGAGGGTACAGCGCTTGAGAGATTTGGCGAAGGCAGCTGCGGAGGCGGAAATCGAAAAATGGGTGGAGGAAGAGAACGTCACCTGCGAACAGGTGACAAGATCCTTGAGGGAGGTCTTGAGAGAAGAGCGCCAAGGGGGAACCAGCTCTACGCCTTCAATCCCCTCCATACCACCGGTTCCTACTACTCCGGAGAGACCGAGAACCCCAGCGCAGACCGGGGACCGATCGAGCGTCTTCGGCGGGACGAGGCCTACAACCCCGCCGATTCCGAGGAGGCGAACACCATCTCCCCCGCCGATGCCGAGGAGACGGACGCCGTCTCCTACGCCGAGTCCTCTCAGACGAGAGGGTGGACAGTTTGAGCGAGAGAGGGTTGTGACAGACACCCTCAACCTGATGACCCTCAAGAACCTCAAGATTGGTCTTGAAGAAGAGGGGCTGGCGATGAGCGGCCTCAAGGAAGACGTGATCCGACGTTTGGTGGGAGTCTTCGGGAACGAACCCCCACCTTCGAATCGACCGACTACGAGGCAGCTTCGATTTATTCTGTACACCTGGCGACATCGGCGTTTGTCGGGACGGACAGATTTGATTTGGGCTGTCGTGTCTTCGAGAGTTGCCACCTCAGAGTGGCTGGCCAGATGGAAGGATGCTTGAGACAAGGACCTGTCTTGGAAGGTGACTGAAGCCGCAGGCTACAGTCAAGGAGGAGTGATGAAGTTAGAGTTTGACAGGTCTGTATGCTTCAAGCATGATGATCCGAATGGTGTGATGAGCATGATCGCTCAAGCTTTGCGTAGGGAACTTGTGTTGAAGAACCGATCCCTGCACTCTTGTACACCCGGCAGGTAGAGAGGAACTTCCGTACTTCGGCATGCTTGCCGGCACAACCCTGTAAAGATATGAAGGGTTAAACCAAGATCGGCAGAAGCCAGCATCTGACATGTGCTTGTGCGTAAAAAGTATTCCAAATTCGATGCCATAGCTTTCTTCGCTTCTGCTCCACCAAGACACCACAACGACCTCAACCCGGAGTTTGAAGTTCTCAGATTATGAGCTCGAGCATTCTCGAGCGGACTCAAGAATACTCAGGCATACGTTACTAGAGCGTACTCGAGCATACTCGAGCGTATGCTCGAGTACTCGTAGTTCGCGTGCGTGCATGTGTCTTGTCGGGATCATGATTGAGTTTCCTTGCACTTTGCATAGTTCAGCCTGCCTCATCAGTCTAAACTGTGACATGGCATCCTTGCCCGACCAATGTCTTGCAGCAAAGAGACAAAGCGTCCAAGCACACCAAAGCAGCATCGCTTCCAGCAAACACCCAAGACGAGCCCGCCATGTTTTCCTGGGCAGTACAAATGCATTACGTTGCCACCTCACGGCCTAGGCAACGCAGTTCAAGTGTTTAAACCGTGGTTGGCTGTTGGGGCTGCCGCAAGTGACAAGTGCTTCTAGCGAGCTTTTGCAAGTCCGACATGCAGTCTATCGGTAGCAGGGAAACCTCAGCTGGATGTAATTACATGATCACATTGCACGCACCGAACTGTAGTTGACGGAGCCCGTCGCAAACACGAGATCTCACTCAACGCCTGGTGTCGGGCCTTGTGATGCTCAAGGAGCCCCCTAAAGCGCCATCGGTTGATGTTCGATGCTGTATTGCAAGAGCTGCCGGCGTTCACAACAAAGTGACGTGACTCTCATGCCGCTCCAAGTGACACTGCCAAGAGAGCACTTTACAGAAACTGTCCACTTGCGTGTGGCAATCTCGGGTCAAGCCCCGAAAACCCAAAGACTTTCACGAAGCCTTAATTCTGCCAAAGTTCCACTGAGGTGGGAGCGTCGGCAACTCGGGCAGTCACATGCCTCAGAACATGAAACAAGTAGATTTGGCTGTTTGTTCATGTAAGTACATGTCGGAAGTTTTTAATTGTCTATGTTCAGGCGTAAGCAGAAGACGAGGATTCCCGTCCGGCACGGGGACGAATACTCAAGCATCTGCCATTTCAGTGACCGAAGATGCTCATACCAAGACAGGTCAGTGGAAGTCGGCTCAAATGCGAATGGGTTGCAGACAAACCGCAAGATTCACGACCCGAAAACTCTGCCTAAGACTGCCAAAAGCTGCAGGCTTTGGTGAACTTTGCACATCGTTGGTCAAGGCAGCTTCGACACGTTGACGTCCACGGCGTGCAGGCTCCAGGGCCGATGAAGAAGAGAAGAAGTGCTGCACCGAAGCTGGTACCAGCTACACTCACAAGTGCCCACTCCCATGATAGCATCGAAGCTGCAAACTGCGAGGGTGACTCACCGCAAGTCTCAAGAGCATGCGAGAACCCAGGCTTCAGGTCTCGACTTCCGAGATTTGTTAGACACCTTTGTGTTGTAGCTGCGGGAAGTTCTTATCGGTTTGCAGGTCGTGCCAGAAGCTCTTCATCGGACTCCCAGGCCAGTGCTTCGAACATCAGACAGCACAGTCGTCCTCGCGCATAGTGCCCGAGCGAAGATGCAGGCTGCACAACTACGTGCCCGATTTGTGCTTCGACCGGCCCAGCCGTGACAGGAAGCCGCCGGGCAAACTTGCGAGGCCACAAAGGTCGGCAAACCGCCGCTCCAGAGAGCGCCTCCAGGAGGGAGATCCGGATCAGAAAATCACAAGCCGCTCCCTACCCGTGCGGAGGCAGATGCGCCGAAGATAGCGGCCCGTGGAAGCGAAAGCAGAAGTACAGGTGATGCAGCATCTTCCGAGACAGTCTTTGTCGGGCTTGAAGTCAAGCAAAGCAGCTGGAGGAGGCCTGCATCCACAACGGCATCCAGGATCCTCACACTGCTCACCTCAATGTTCAAGCGTTTCAAGGCCTGTCCTCCCCAGGGTGGCTGTTGAATTTTGGCAGCGCCGGTGGAACGGCCTTTCTCATCGTCACCAGACTGCCGAGGGCGACCGCCCTGTGGTGGATGGAACTCCTGAATGCGCAATCTGAAGTTCAAATCTCCCGCATGAAACCCGCGAGAGATAGTCCTCCTCAAGTGGACAAGCTGCTTAAACTCTCAGTGCTCAGCTTGGCATGTGGACTAGCCAGGATTCGGAGTGCGGACAGGGTGGGCCGCTTTCCAGAAGACTAGACTTCCTTTTGCCTGCCATCACAACGATCTGCTGCCCGGACCAGCGTGGGAGTAGCATACGATGTCAACCTGAACGCAGAGGCTGCATGAGTCAAGATCCAAAGAGATGCAGCAAAGTCAGCATTCAGTTGCAGCTCAGAAGCTGGGTGTCGGCCCATAGCGACTGTGAAGGGTCAGACGAGCGTGGCTGCGAAGCTGCGGTGGCAGCCCCAGAGTGCTCCAGAAAAGGCTGCATTTCGCCGGTTTGACTCAGAGGATGAGCTGCCCTAAATCCCAAGTCGTTATTTCGACCTCAATACTTGGCAAAAGGGGCCGACATGCGGAGTTTCAGAAGCTTCCCGCCCGAGTCGACCGAAGCTCCCCGCAAGTGGCAGATCTGCCAGGCATGGCGCACAGCACCTCAAAACAAGCTCCAGATGAAACTTGGTGCAAGCTTGACTTTTGAAGACCGCCTGGTCAGTGTACGGCTGAGCAATGAAACTGCTGTTGGGCAACTACTATGGAGAACAGTACCCAAACACGTGAGTCAGGAATCAAATGCGGGGGGGCAAGAAAAAGATGTGCTCGGAACCGCTCTTGCGCGCGGAGACAAGCACTGCAGTCAAAGCCGATTTGGGGGAAGGGTTGGGCAACCGCCGCGGTATAAACACCTGTTCAATTGGTTCCTCGATAGCGAGGTGAATGGGCTCTGGGCCCACGTTGGTGTCCGTTTCATCGATGTGCAAGCCCAACCCAGTTTGTGAGTGCATCGCGTGAAGCTCAGCAGCAGCTTGTCGGTTTGGGAGATCGACATGTGCATTGTGCTTGGGAGAGGCAGGGGGCGACAGGCTGTAGGACTGTAGGACACTCGACCTCCGGTGTTGCAGCCTTGCACTGCAAAGTTCTGGCCATTTTGACCATAGGCCTACGAACACCTCCCAACAAATCCGAGAACACTGAATAACGAACATTCCACAAAGATCATTGCAAAAGGCGGACCCACATCACAGGGCCTGAACATAACACTGGCCGGCGGCGACATCCTCTTCAGCAGGCAGGCCTCCGAAACATTTCGGGGAGCTGTGATCGGCTATTGGGCCGAGCATGAAAATCCTTCGCTGAAAGGGCTACGGGTTCATCCTGTTGGAGAAGGGGGGGCATTTCCCGCATTTTCGGGCTGCTAGGTCTTAGAGCACTCACGAGGGCGGCAATTTGAGGGTTTTGAAAGTTTGCGGATGAATGCATGTAATGCATTCATCATGTTGGCGCCTCTATGGTTCAAGCAACCATGAGTCTGATGATAATGATTCTGTAGTTGAACCTAAATCATCATCCCCCTCCCACCCCCCACCCCACCCCCGTAACCCAAGCACGAACAGACACCTTGGAGACTTTGTCGTGGAGTTTCGTGAAACCACAGAAGTGAGAAAAGCAAGCTCGAGACTTTCTTGCAAAATGAGCCAACGCCACACGTTTAACGCCGTAAAGGAAAAATGCGGGGTCGGATACACAATCCTAGCCTAGTGGCAGTAGCTGTAGTAGCAGCAGAAGTTGTTGTTGTTGTAGCAGCAGCAGCAGCAGCCGCCGTAGCAGCATTAGCAGTAGCAGTAGCAGCAGCAGTAGTAGTAGTAGTAGTAGTAGCAGTAGTGGTAGTGGTAGTGGTAGTGGCAGTGGCAGTGGCAGTGGCAGTGGTAGTGGCAGTAGTAGTAGTAGTAGTAGTAGTAGTAGCAGCAGCAGCAGCAGGAGTAGTAGTAGTAGTAGTAGTAGTAGTAGTAGTAGTAGTAGTAGTACTAGTAGTAGTAGTAGTAGTAGTAGTAGTAGTAGTAGTAGTAGTAGTAGTAGTAGTAGTACTAGTACTACTAGTAGTAGTAGTAGTAGTAGTAGTAGTAGTAGTAGTAGTAGTAGTAGTAGTAGTAGGAGTAGGAGTAGCAGTAGTAGTCGCCGTCGTGGTGGTAGTAGTGGTAGTAGTAGTAGTAGTAGTAGTAGCAACAGTAGTAGTAGTAGTAGTAGCAGTAGTAGTCGTAGTAGTAGTAGTAGCAGGAGGAGTGATAGCAGCAGCAGTAGCAGCAGAACAGCAGCAATGGTCACAATAGTGATAATTGTAATAATAGCAATATTATTAATAGTTATGCTGATAATACTAACAACATTGTATGATGAAGTGGTGGTAGGAGATATCAGCAACAGAACTTAAGCCGCGGAAGGATGATAATTTATCCTTCCTTCCTTCCTTCCTTCCTTCCTTGCTTTTCCTTTCGTCCTTCCTTGCTTTCAAGCCAGGACCCAAAATTACACCCGAAATGCCACAAAACTGTGGCACAGCCCAACTACACAGTGAATCACCATGCGCTTGTCCGGCAAACCGCTGACCACTGGCAACAGCAGATACAGTGTACTGCGAGAAAGTTTAAGTTTCAACGGACCTGCAGCCTGGAAGGAAATGCGGTAACCAGGCTTCGTAATGCATGTTTGCTCAAACAGTAGCACGAACCACGAAACTGGTATGCCGCTGTTTGAAAAAGCCCGCCAAGACGATTGCACTAACTTGAGTACAGCGGCGTTTCCTGACCGTGCCAAACTAGCTCGTCCTACTTGAAGCAAAGTCCCTCATTTTCAACCTGTCAAGGAAGATATGTCTCAAAGCCCCAAAAGAACGGTCGGAAGATCGGCCTTCAGCCCTCCAAGTGCAGGACAGGCACGCTCGCACAAGACCTTGCGCTTCGACATTCGGGGCCGTCTCATGTATGCTCCGACGCAATCCAAACTTTTAGAGTAGCATCGATCTCTACTGGCTCTCGACTCGAGCCAAGAAGAAACTTGAACGAAAAGCATCACTGTCAAGGGCCAATGCAGTGTTGCGAAAGTGTATACGCCAGTTGGCAGGCACGGGAGTCCACTCAAATGCAGCTTCGGCACAACTCTTCAACATTGGGCACAGCACCTCGGCCCTCGCCCGACAGAGGTAAACCGCAGCAACCGTCCTTGCTGTTGTGTCTGGAAACTGGAACATACTCGTTGGGACCTCTCCCGGACAGGGCAGGCTGGCGAAGCAGGGGCACAACTTCGTCAGGTGCTGAAGCAAGGCAGGAGGAACCCTCTGTCAAAGATCGTCACCGAACGGAGGAACCCTTAACTCGTCCCTGTGGTCGCTCTCTCTGGGTCCCAAGTTCCTGGCCCCGGTGGCCTAGTTGACGGCCCTTTACGCGCCAAAACTGTCCGGAATACCAACTGCAAGGACTTCATGCAAAGCATACTCCTTCCAAAGAGAAAAAAGAAGCCGGAAAGGCGTGTGACGGGACCCTGCTCAAGACTCTAAGTGACTCAGGAGTGCTGTGCACGCTTATCAACACCTGCTTCAACCCCAAGATGCGCATGTCGAAGCGAAGCCAGAATCCCGGCGGGCGAGCAGATGAATCCTCATCCCAGGCACCCGCACCCCTCAGAGTGCGCAGGGTAACGTAGCTTGGCCGGCCAAGGGATGCCAAGCATGTCAAGGACGCCCTGAAGCAGGTTGGTCGGACACATCCTCTGGAAAACCCCAGACTTACTCTTCTCCACCTGTCACCCTCAAGGACTCAAGGATGCCATGCAATCCCAGGCGAAGATAATGAAATGTGAGCTGGTGCGACCTAACACAACTCAGCAACAGTCTTCCAGATGGACATGGATGTCAAGGAATACTGTCTGACTAGATCTCATGCCAAGCTTCAAACTGAAATACAATCGAACGAAGTAGCTTGATCACAAAGTACTCACTCCATGGAGCGAGCTAACCACCGGATCGACCAGTGGAGAATAAGAAGAGCACGCGCAGACCATAACACTTGCCCGTACAATGCAACCCTTTGCCGGGCTGGCTTGAAAGGGCAAACTCACCGAGGCTGAAAGTTGCATATAATGTCAGATGCGAGCATGCCCCGACCGGTGAAATTGGCTTCTCGCTGGATCGAATCGAACCTATTCAACCGCAACAAAAGCTTCAGCTTGCTTCTGCCCAACAAAATGCACCGAAGCATGGACCTGTGGTCACCGAAGAACGCTCATCGGAGAAGCTGATAACAAAGACTCCTGGAAGTTCGCGTTGGGGAGAACATTAGCATGCATGACAAGTATAATTTATAATCGATCCCGTGGTAAACTCAGCAACAGGCTCGCATGTCTCAGGGGAGGAGCAGGAGCAGCTGGCTTGGCCGTGAACGCTGCTGAGTGCTCTATGTCTCCAAAAAGCCGAACGTATTCATGTACCGGTTTCCAGTTGTCGAGGCTCACAAGACGTTTCCCGTTCTTGTGCCGAACTCCTCCAGATCGTGTTCGAAAAGTTTGCTGTGGTTCCTTGTGCTCCCAGAGACAAGTTGTCTCAAGCTCAGCTTCCGGAAATGAGACGGTCCTCACGATGAACCGAGCGCAGTGCGTGGGCGCAGAGTCAAAAAGGACGGCCCCATGTGCAGAAGAAGCTTGAAGCCACCGAGACCTGTTCAGGGTTTTGCTTCGAAACCCAGAAGCTCTCATAAGCAGTCAGTCTTGTGGGTGGTTGTACACAATATGACTGTGTTTAGAAGGTTTCGTGCCGAGTGTGGGCCTCATGCAAAGTATTGAAACACTCCAAGGTGACCGTTTTTTTCCAGGCTATACACACTTTGCGACTCCTGCACCCGTTCTCCACACGCATGCCCCCTCCATTGTCAGTTGGATGTTCGGGGCTTTCACGCTTTTCGGGGTTGGCCACCTCCACCAGGGTTTGCCGCCGTGGCCCATGCCTTCCGTGGCCCACTTCAGCATTGACCACTGCTTGCAGTGTCTTGCCTAGAAGTAGGGTTGCTGACGTGTGCATATGGCGTAGGGCGTTCATGGTTTTGTTTCGAGATTGCAGGCCAACAACAGAAGTGACGACCCAGCTTCAAACATGCTGCTCCGGCTTGAGGACATGATAAAAATAGCAAATGCAACACAGTCCTGGGCCGTAAACCCTAAACCTTTACACCACCAATCCACACGGAGTCAGACCTCCTGAATGGGCGCGGCCCTGGACGTGACGGAAGTCGTTCAGATACGAACAAGCACCTGCGGCGCAGGTGTCAA